GAAAGGATAATTAAAGTGAAATTGTATTAAAAAATAGGGTTCTTTGGGAACAATACGTTTTCTTGTGTAGTTTATTAGGCAAAAGTGGTTAAGACCGAATTCTGCAGTAGGCGCTGGAGATAAACAGTGAATAAAACCAAACTTGTTCCCAGCTCGAATGGGATTGACAGTTTAGAGAGGGAGGCAGACATCAGTAAAATAGTTCCACTCATGTATATAGCACTCCAGTGTGACATGTGGTATGTGAGAAAGCATTCGTTATGGACCCCGTTAGTGGAGGAGTACCACCTGGTCTCGGGGAGGACCTCCCTGGAGGGGGGATGGGGCTGGGTTACATGGGAACAGCAGGTGTTTTCTGGCGAGACAGAAGGAGAGAGGGTACTGAGCTCCTGTCTAGGGATTCTAGGTTGTCTTTCCACAGCTAGCGGTGGGCTCACCGATGGATGCTGTCTTGTTTCTTACCTGTTGGCAACAATGCTGAGCGCCCGTGTTCTGTCTGCTCCATTTCCCAGAATCTCAGAAGTGCTCTCTGCAGAGAGAATGTTTAACAAATAGGCATTCAGACATGGTTCCATAGTGTTAGCACGTCTGCTTCACATGCAGAAGGTCCTGGGTTTGCGCCCCAGTGGAGCCACGGTCTATGGTCTGTGGCCACACCACCCTGAACAAGCCCGATGTCTGATCTTGGAAGCTAAGCAGGGTCGGGCCTGGTTAATACTTGGATGGGAGACCACCTAGGAAGACCAGGTGCTGTAGGCATAAATAATAATAACAATTAAAAAAATGGGTATTCACTGATAGAAAGTATTTGAGAGTCTACTAGAACTTAAATTTGTTTCAAAGCAATAAAATTCTGAGGTAGTTAGGAATATTACTTGTTTAAAATTAAAAAAAAAAGATTATCTTAATTTTTAACTCTTATGGTTAAATAATGACATTATTAGGTGGCTACTTTTAGATAAAGAATGATAAATAATGCCTTCTCTATAAATTATGCTCTTAGAACCTGTTTATGTTTTGATTTAAAATAGAATTTTTTTCCATGTAATTTAGAACCTCATTTTGAATGGAAGTAATGTGAATGGCATATGTAATTAATGTGCCAAGGAATTAATGTGGACTTTCTATAAACCATTGTCGTTTATTATCAAAATGCTTTTAACTTAACCGATGTTGGCATTAACAAGCACTGCTCGATGGTAGCATGAAAGACATTGCGTTTAAGCTTACTGGGGGCTCAGCGATGCCCGAGGTTCTAAAATGCTTTCTGCGGGCCGTTTAACTGCTGGCAACTCTAATTCACATGATTTATAGTACTGGAAATTTAAATTCACTCTTAATTGAAAAGTGAAGTTACATAAATTCTTTAAATACTAACCTTGGAAAAATATCTGAAAAAAAAAAATAAAGGCACATATGATTTTGATGGCCTGCTGCCAAAAGATTATCATTTACATAAATATCTCTTTCAGTAGAAGAGTTTAGTGTATTGAGCTCAAAAGGTTAGAATAGAGACTTCAATCTGGAGACCAGCAGTAGACTGTTGGCTTGTGAACAGCGGTATTGTTCATCATATTGAGAACACTGTTCACATTCAAGTTTAAGCAGAGCTGGCATTAAAATGCAGTTAATTTGTTTCATGTGACTTGTCAGCTGTGTGTTTTTATCTAAATCTTTCTAGCTTCTCTTCTTAGTATTTTATGTTAAACTCCTGAAATGGATGAACTACCTCGTTAACTGTTTAAGCTCTGATATATCGGCCACTCTGCAAATGATTCTGTGGAACCATTCTCCAAGTTTTCCATTTCATTTTAAATATATTGAATATCTGTTTGAATGCCATTTTAATTTATTGAGAAGTAATCCCGCGTCAGAGGGCTTTTCTAGTTCATGCCTGAGTCCAGTCCATAAACGGGACTTCCTGAAACTCATTCAGACCAAATTGCCATCCTCATTTTCTCACCAGCATCCCAGTCATTTCTTGTTTGTTAATCTTGTTTTCTGGATTTTCCCTTAGATGGCTTTTAATATTTGGCTACTAGTCAAGTATTGGGTCTTAGCAGTGAAGTGCAAGTCCCAAAGAAATAAGGGAACTGTAACTGATGTTAGAGTAAGGTCCCATTTCACTTTTTGAAGGGCTCGAAAAATCTTACTGTTCCTCTGAAACTGTACTTAGTGAAATCTAACAGTTAATCTTCTTGACTAATTGGGAGCTGAGTGTTTTGAAGATGTCTCCAAGTGTGCAGTGATTTTTAATCTGCTTTATGAGGTGTAATTGACATGCAGTAAACTGCCATATTAAAATTACCCAATTCCACAAGTTTTGATACGTGTATTTTTGATATGTGATACGTGTATTTATGCACGCAATCATCCCCGCCATCAGGAGAGTGGACAAATCTGCCATTTCCAAAGGTTTCCTCCTGTGCCTTTGGAATCCCTCCCTGCCCCCTTTCTCCCCGCGTCCCTGACTTCACAGGGACCCCCTTATCTGTTTTCTGGCAGTGGAGATCGGTTTACATTTCTGGTTTTCTATAAGTGAAAGCATACAGCTGTGCACTCTTTATTGGCGGCCGTCTTCGGAATTCTTTTACTCAGCATCATTATGGGGTTGATTCATGTCAACGTGAGTATAAATAAGTTCATTTGTTTTGTCGCTGAGTGGCATCCATTATATGGCTACACCTCAAGTTATTTATCTCTTCATCCGTTAGTGGACATTTGGGTTATTTCCATTTTTCTCATCTACCGTCTTGTCTTTTAAGCTTTCTTTCATGTTTTCTATCACTCTATCTCTCTGCCATGCATTTTTACTTATTGCCACGGATGGGCACATTGCCTGGCATGTGGTAGATTGAACTATGTGGAATTTGTCAATATTTGACCAATTGACCTATAAAAATGGCAGTTTTATATACTTTGATAAAAAAAGTATTTGCTAAGTATTTTTTAATGAATATTACTTGTTTTTATATGCCTGATATGAAATTATTTACATATATAAAATTCTGCATAATAAAAAAATACTAAGCGACACACTATTAGTAGTTATTATGTCGTGTTGGTAAAATTATTTTCCCCTTACGTATATATGTAGTGAGCGTATATTAATTACTTTTATGATTGAAAATCTTTTAAAAAGGAAAAACCTGTGCTTTTTTCTAGTTTGTGTAATTTATTTGAACATTATTTTTTATTCTTTTCTTTGCAAAGGCAAGACCCATGGTGGTATTCTATAATAAACATGGATTTTAGAGCCGGTCGGATTCTTTTTCCTAGTTTTGTGACATTAGGCAGGCTGTTTAATGTGTGAGACCCACGATCCTTTTGTGTAAAATGATAACTCATTTAATTTGCACTGAAAGGTAATCGTTAACGTGTGTGGTGCCTGGCATATGTGTTACTTTCCTTCCTCTGTTTTTCTAGCTCGGATCCTGCCTTTGGTTAAAGGCAACGCAATTCTGACCTTACTTGTTACCTAGTAATTTTGTAACTATACCACTTGTTTTGATTTTCTTTTCTTTAAAAAAAATTTTTTAAATGCGAGCAAAGTGTGTAATGTGTTATTTTTATAAATAATAAATTTTAAGTTATATATAGAATTTCCCTTTCTAATAATGACATTAATGATCTTTTCCGTTTGTTTCTTGTTTGAAGAGTATCAAAGAATATTCCAACAACTAAAGATGTCGAGCCGCTGCTGGAAATAGATGGAGATATAAGAAATTTTGAGGTGTTTTTGTCCTCAAGGACCCCAGTTCTTGTGGCTCGAGATGTGAAAACCTTTTTGCCATGCACTGTAAACCTAGACCCCAAACTACGGGAAATTATCGCAGGTGGGTGTTAGTGGTCAATTTACTTTTTCTTCTCTAAAGTCCTCAACTTTTTGTCTGTTTTTAACTTAGCTATATGAGGTTCTCCTGCTTCATGAAAAACTCAAGAAGCATTGAACCAAGCACTGCACAAGGAGAATTAATGATTGGGAGTCTCGATCTCCTTTTGGGGAATGTTAAGAAATGTTATTTGTTAAACTCAGTTGATTATGTTTCCCAACTCACACAGCTGAACCCTGACTTAGAATTAGATTCCTTAACTTATACAGTCACCACTTTAAGAAGTCAGAGCATTGGGATTTTCTTGTCACTTGTCTTATTGATAGGGATCTTTATCCAGAGAGGTGAGAAAGCCTTTATAATACTTTCTAATTTTTAACTTAAATTTGTGGACTGGAACTCGAGGAGAGACACGAAGTTTGGGGAGTAAGTTCAGTTGTTTCAAGGTACCACCGCGTGCCCGTGCACTCACGCAAGGCCACTGCTGAAACACGCTGTCCTGTGTGTGATCCGGCACACCGACCCACCCGAGATTCCAGGGACTGGGAGCGAGCACCTCGAACTACTCCCACGTCCCTCGTTAGGTTCCTGTTGCAGGGCCGTCGCCGTCGCTCAGAGGCGGATGCGTTGGGTAGTTCGCCCACCCGCAGCGTTAGCTAGCGTTGTAGTTATTAACGCTGGACAAACACGAGTTATTAATAGTCAGTAACACTTGATGAATCATAAGAATTGTTAGAATGGCACATACAGATACCTTAAAGTGTCAGAGAAACACTTCTCGTTCTGGTAAGTGAAGGGACGAATCCAGGTGTTTGTTGGTGGCGTTTCAGATGGGGAAAGGCGCTTTTACGCAGAGCGCAGGTGGCGAGGCCCGTCTGCCGCGTCCAGACAGTCGGGCTTCTGGCAGCGTGATGCAATCACAGTCTGCCTCGTGCCTAACGCAGGAAGTGCTCACTGGGTTAATGACTGATGTCCTATTTTCTTGTGCCTTCTGGGTGGGGGGTTATTTAATGTTTCAGACGTTCGTGCTGCAAGAGACCAGATTAATATCGGGGGGCTTGCGTACCCCCCGCTGCCGTTGCACGAAGCTCCTCCCAGGCCACCCTCAGGCTACAGCCAGGCTCCGTCTGTCTGTTCGTCGTCCACCTCCTTCACCGGGCCATTCGGAGGCGGGGTTGTGTCGCCGCAGCCTCACAGCAGCTACTACAGCGGCCTGACGGGGCCACAGCATCCGTTCTACAACAGGGTAAGGGCGCCCCGTTCCGGGTTGTTCTGGGGGTGGCAGACATTTCTGCTTATGGACGCTGTTGTTTTGAAACTATGCTTTAGCATTAACGTGTATAGTTAGAATTCATTGTATGTTTTTTTAATCAAAAGAATTTAAAATGTTAATGGGTTCTAGACTCAGTTGAGTCTGAATGTTCGCAATGCTTTCTGCTATGACTTATTCTCTTGATAAGAAGTTGAGCTCCGCAGGGCCAGCAGTGGCTGTCTTGTGCTCCAAAGGGATCTGCATCTCTATTTGTTGATAAACAAACGTTCTGTTTGTTATATGTCATATAGTAATTTATATCATCACTTAAAACAACAATAAACTTACGTCTCTACAGTAGTTCAGTAAACCTGTATTTAATATGTGTTACGGCCTTGAATGAGAGAGGACGATGGAAAATCCTGTCGGTGGGACTCAGATGTCACTGCCAAATAGTAACACTGCAGCCTATTTCTGCTCTTATTTCAGGTTGTCTTCAGTCACATATGATTGTTGATGTAGTCTAAATATGATGATTTCTACTCGACAAGATGAAAGCACAATTAATTATTAGTGGTATTCAGACCCCATCAAGTTTAGTAGGCCTAAGCTATCCTCACCTTAATGATTAACGTTAATATTTCCTATAGGAAAATGGGGCCTGAATGCTATTATTATATTTTCTGAAACTAATTCTCCCTAAGAGCCATATTTTTTGTTGTTTCCCTTTAAGTCTAATTTGAGAAAACATAGGGTCTAGTATTCATAGAAGCCAAGAGCCTGTCTAAATAGATTTCCTGTGAGCTAGGAAGAAAGAGAGTTAGAATAAACTTGGTAAAGAAGGACTTCCAGAATTTAAATTTTCAGTTTTTAAAAAATGTTGGCCATATAAGTCATTGGCTACGCCAATCATAGAGGTCCTGCGAATATTATTCCATTCTTTTATTCAAACAAGGGAGGAGAAGGAGGCGGAGCAGGAGCATTTTATAACATGTTCCACCTTGTAAACTTGACCGTGTGGTCGACAGTGTGAAATGCAGGTTTTCATTTACCAGTCTTAAAATCTGCTGTAATTTTACTTAAAATGGCTCAATTGATCATTAGATGACAGTTGAATTTTTGAGACCAAGAGATATTTTTTTAATTTGAAAAAAATTAAAAATTACTATACCATCTAGGCCAAGACCTTGTATTTACTAATTTTAAATGAATAACAATCATGCGATACTTTAATAACATTTTGTTATTTTTAAAGCACTGAAAAATTTCTTGTGATTTTAAGTCTAGTTGTTTTTTGCTCTAGTTATTTGAGGTTTTTAGTTTGAAAGTTAAAAAAAAATAATTTTTTAAAAAATGGCAGGAGTTAAGAAAGGTAGGGGAAGATGTCGGTTTGGTGTAATGAAGCTTGGGGAATTTTAATCTTTATGTTTAGCCCATATAGTCTGATAGCTCCTGTTAATATGAAGCTTGTTATAAATAAATGCCATAGTTATAAATCTTGTCTAAACAACGGATTCCTCATTAAAAAAAAAAATACTCTTGCTTATTTAGGAGATAGAGTATACTGTAGGCCATAGGATGTGAGGTAAGCTCTAGGAACTTAGAGTAACAGATGTTTCTGGAGTCTATGCCAGCATGTTCTCATATAATCGAGACTTTTTTGGTTTTACTTAAGGCTAATCTACTTTTGTGGAGGATAGTATCTTATTAAGACTCCATTCTGCCTTTAAAAAAAAGAGATTGTGACTTAATATTTGTAAATACTTAGAACCTGACACATGGTAGTAAACCCATAAAATTTTTAAATGTAAAGAGAAACTCTTGTGTCAGATTGTAAGGTATAAAATTTAGTTGCTTAAAAAAAGGCTTTTAGTAAATCAACAACATGAACATTTAAATAATACGTCTTCGGTTCGGGTTTGCTGTCCTAGAGTACGAGGGGGGCTTTTTTTTTTTTTTTTTTTTGTTCTGTCACTTGGATTAGAAGTGTGGAGTTGCATTTCATTGGTTAGTTTCATTTGTTAAGTCTCATTACACTTTGATTTCTGTAATTGTTCACCCCCTTCTTTTGTTACGTGTTTTTTCCATAGCCATTCTTTGCCCCCTACCTTTACACGCCAAGGTATTACCCTGGCGGGTCCCAACATCTCAGCTCACGTCCATCAGTAAAACCGAATGTGCCCAGAGATCAGAGCAATGGCCTAGTAAGTATGGAAAAGGGTAACTAAAGTATCACTCTAATAAGAAACACAGAGAGCGTCAGAAGTTTGGTTTTTCCTTTCTGTAGTAAAAGAGTGCAACTTATTTTATAAATAGTTTTAAGAAACATAAACTATTACTAACATAAAATGTATTTTGTTTTCATTTCTGGTAAATATCTATGGAGGGAAAATAACTAGCATACTCAGTGGATAAATGTTGAGTTGTTTACAGCCAGTGTTTCTGGCTGATAATGTCGTGTTCGTTACCACACTTTTAAAACTAAACCTTTCCATCTGCTAATTTCTAATATCTTTTTAAAGGATATACATGTAAAACATCTGCATATATATGTTAGCTCTGTTGCATAAAAATTAGATGATACATTGAAGGAACATTTTAATCTAATGGCGGAAATTAAATAGGATAAGAAAATTATTCTAATGTGCTATTGAATCTAACCCCAAACAAAATACATTTGTGCCTAACATGGTAGGTGTTCCTGAAGAAAAACTTAGTCTAACACTTTAATAAAAGTTCCCTGTTACTATGTCTTTGTAAATTAGGCAAAAGATGTAGGCCTTAAACTGCTATTTATATTTTAAAATGTCACTGAAGGAAAAATCGCATCCCCTCCTGGTTTCGGTGTCTTATGTTGTTTGAGCATCATGTTCATTCGTCATCCTAGTTTGGCTCACACTCACCTTTCACCCACACTCTTGTTTTGTGTCGTTAGGAGGCTATCAAGGAGGACGCTGCTGAGGGGCTCCCTTCACCCGCAGACTCCTCGAGGGTAATGGAGTAGTCTTGTGGTGTGGAGTTCGAGCATCTCGTCGCTTCCGCAGCCGTAACGACTGTCTTAACCGTGATGGCCGCAGTTCACTAACTGCATCTGTGCTGTGACGGGCAGCTAGTGTAGCGTAGCTGAATACTAATCATTGTAGTTCATGGATTAATTAAAAAGCTAATGTTTACCCTTATTTCCTCCTGCTTTCCCCCCTTTTTCAGTAACGTGGGATGGGGTTTTTTCATTGTCCAGTAGAGACGAGACTTTTTCAGCAGCCGTCAAGAGCACTCGATCGGCGATGTGTATTCGTTCGTTAGTATTGAGCTATTTTCACCTTTGCCTGATTCTTTTTGAAGCCTGCAGTCGGTACTCCACACGGAGCATATTTTTAAAAATACCCCAAATCACCCTTGAGACTCCAAAAAGACATCCTGCACTAGATGGTGTAGACCAGAAACGAGTCTTTCATGACCCGTTCTTCATCTAGGTGTCCGCAGGTTTTGAAGCCTCAGTGGAAATGCAGTACTGCTTTTCTTTATCTGTGTTTTTAATAAAATAGCATTTCCAGGTAAATGCGAAGCTAGTTCAGCATGTAAAAGTAGTTATTCAGTCCCCTGCCTAACTCCTTAAGGCGAGTTTGTTAAAACGGACTTGTATAGAAAGTCACTTCGTATAGTTACCATTCAAGACTTTGTACTTAATAAGAAACACGTTCGATGTGATGAACCTTAAAATCTTCATCTACTCAGTCAGCGTGGAATTTAAGAACCCAGTTTGTATTTTAACTTCTGTCGACCTCTTTTCAGCATGTTAAGCCCGTGTAAACACGATCAGTATAAAGCTGCGCTGAACTGTGGCACAGCGCTTGGAATTACTATGATGAAATAATGCATCCTGAGTTAATCCATAATGTTTTAACTTAAAACACGCATTTCGATAAGCAGTAGTTTCTTAACTTTAATTTTCTTTGAGTTAATGTTAGGGAGAGAAAGAACCATTTCAGAGTTTTCATTGAGGGGTTGATGATTCTTTTTAGATCATTAACATTTTAGCTGAAGCGCTGGAGTGACTTCAGTTATCCTCGAAAGATGGACACGGTCAACCAGAACGGTTCTCTCTGCGAGTCGGAGGGATCTTTAGTCCATGGACCGTTGCCGCTGTGTGCAGGAGGGACTTTTAGTTTAGTCAGAGAGCCTTTAACACGTGGGTTCATGTGTACGGTGCAATTTTTCTGAGCTAAAATTCCTTGGCAAAATTTGATGAAAATCAGATACTGTGAAGAATTTGGTGGCCTAGTGACACGGACATGCTGAGATGGTGGTAGCTGTTCCCATGCTTAAGGATGTGAGTGCCTGCAATTTCTTTCAGGGACCAGTGAAGGAGCATTAGGCAAATTTTGAAAAGAGTTTTTGGGGAAGGGGAAATAATGCAGTTCTAGAGATGTACTTAGAGGCCCCATAACAGAGAGTAAAGATGCTCCAAATGTGTTAGTGTCTTTGTTTAGTAAATAACCGTGCTGTTTGCTGTTCTTTTAACATTAAGAGGTAATTTTTGATGTGCTTAGTGATTAATAGATGCTTACGAAGCTTTCTTTGTTTTTAAGAAATTAACAATGACAATAGCATGTAGAATTCGTTTTGTAGAAGACGAGTAGAAGTAGACACTTAGTTCAAGCCAAATTAAAAGCAGTGGTGGAAATGCAGAGAAGTATCTGTATATGGGAACATTGTCGGGGATCTTTATAGCTGAAGCAACATGGAAGAACTTAATACAAAAATTATTTAGCCCTTCATGGCTCACATGACTTTCCAGTCCTGTAGTAGCAAACTCTACTTCTGGGATGACAGGACTGCAGATTGAGTCTCTCTCTGCTCATTCAACTGTCCCTTATGCGGAACATGTGATAATAGGAGCTGCAAACGTTTTTGACAGACCGTCATTACAGAGACAGAATAGTAGTTAAAAAAAAAAGCCAGACCATAAAGAGTTAACCAACTAGTCCTTTCAATAAGGGTAGTCCCACCTTTTTTTTTTTTTTCCACAAGGAATTTTCAATAAATCTTTATAAAGCAGATCCTTATGAAAATAATTGGGTTTTCTCACATTAAGGAACATTGTAAGGATGTAGCTTGTGAAAACCAGCCAAGGTCTTATCAGATAAATTATAGATTTGTCCAAGTGCTTCACAAATGTGAAGATGTAAAATATAAGCCTCTGGGCTAGCTTTTTCCTGTAATTTTATAATAGAGAAGATAGATGCCCAATCTTGTAAAACTGGAAAAAATTAACAGCGGCCCGAAGATACGCTCCCCAGAATATTAGAGCTAGGAAGGACCAGTGTTTTTCAAACATTTAAAGCAGAGAAGCCTTTTTTAGAAATACAATCTTAATCAGAACTCCAGTTTATCAAACCAGTAGAGAAAGAGCTCTGCCCCCGCCACCCGGGACAGCCTTTCTTCTCGACCCTCCGAGAACCCTGGTGGCCGTGGTCAAGTCTGGCTTCACGGGACACATGAGCATCCGAGACTCAGTCTGTGGGACTTGGCTGAGCTGTGCGGAGGGACGTGCCGATGTGGGGTGAGAGCCCACGCGGCTGGTGTCACAGCCAGACCTCGGCGCCACGCCGCCTCCTTGGCTCCTGTCTGCGCTACACGCGACTTAGCCGTGCATTTGGCCTCTCAGGTTAGGGAGACCCTGCTGCTTGGCCCGTGGCCTCGGCCACATCACTTAGCCTCTTGGACCCTCAGCTTCCTCCTCTGGGAAAAGCGAACGTACCTCTCAGGTCTGATCTAAGGATTACTCAGCCTTGGCCCAAGACCAAATTCCGTGGAGCTTTAAAGACTCAGGGACTAAAACTATTTCATGTTTTTATAAAACAGACCTTTGTTTCAGTACAAATACTCTAATCAGTTTAGATCAGCTCAGCCTGTTGTCCGCTGGTGCTTCTCTGGCCAAAAAGGTGTCAGTCAATTTGTTTTCTTAGAATTTAAGAAAAATTCTTAGTTATTTGCATGCTCCACATACTTTAACAGTTTGAGAACTTTCCTGGGGAATTTTACGTGGTGCTTTCTCAGTCCAGTTCCGACTAGGAAGTTGTGGCGTCGAGATCGTTCTGGGACCGTGACAGGAGGGCCCGTCATGGAGGGCCAGGCCTCCTCAGAGGCATGCTGTTCTGGTGTTTTGGAGCGTTGCTCTTACTAGTGTTGGGGTCTGTTTTTACTTCAGGTTTGCTTATGGTGGTAACGATATTGCATCGAAAAGCATTGTTTTCCAAAAGAAGGAGCGATATAGCATGTGTTACCCTTCTGTCCTTTCTTGCATTACTTAGCATCAAATATTACAGATGCTGTGCGCTTGTTCAGGGCGTCAGCAGATTTACCGAACCTTCCCCTGGGTGGTACCCTAGCCTGGTGGCCGCGGCAGTGGACCGAACTGGTGGACAGCCTCCCCTTGCTGGGCCGATGAGTTCGATGGCAGCCAAGGGGCAGTTACAGGCCACTAAGTGCTTCTCCCTCCACCTTCTCTGCCCCGGGGTTGACTCAGTACCTTTAGCAGCTTTATTTAGATCCCTTTTATATAACTCATTGGAAAGGCACGAAAACAATTAGCGCACAGTTTCATTGTGAAGAACTCCAGAATTGCATGGGCAGCGTTAAAATAGCCTCCCGATGTCCAGTGTGCTGTTACTTTGACTCTTAGAGATTAATGAAAACAACTGAATGAACGAAGGTCTTGGTTTTCATTAAACTGGATCCAGTCAGTGGAGCGACCGAGTTAAAAGGAAAAAAGATGGGCTCAGCTGTAGATGGTTTCTGTTTCCCCCTCTGGTTTAGAACTTACAGCCTGTTTTCCGACGAATATCTGTCCAGATCGAGCTGTCCCTCGTGGTCAGGGGCAGGCGCGGGTGAGAGAGCTGAAGCCCTCCAGACTGGCCGCCAGCCTCCGCCAGCTCTCAGGCGCATTCCCACTTTGCTAAAGTGTTTTAGAAGTGTGGTTTTATTATTCTGGTTCAATCTGTCAAAGAATCTGCTTATTTTTTTCTTTAATAATAGAGTGAAACATCCTATTCACTCTGGCTGGAAAGTCCTCATGCCAGACTTCACCTGGAAGAAAACTTTCTTCCTAAACCATCAGTTAACCGCAACTGGATTGATTGAGATATTTTCACAGAAATACGACATTGTAGTAATATTGCAGTCCTAGAGTACAGTTAAAAGT